CATAAGGCCCATTTATCATCAAGAACATGCTTCAAATAACCATTAAGAGAAAAACAGACAAACTTAAGAGCTCCCACTTAAAGCAAATCCCAATGAAGATTGAGTTTACAAAAGACTAAAGAGAAAAGAAGAAAAATCTAACATAGAAAAGAAAGAAAAAATTCCAGCAAGTCCTCTAGTAAAATTAAAAATAGAAGAGGCAAGAAGAGATCACAAAAAAAACCTTTCAATAAGTATCACCACCTCAACATATGGAATCAAAGTCTCCAAGACAAGTAGCATTCAAGTACATATATTGAGTTCATTATGAACTATAAAAAAGTGTAGGAAACATAGGTCTTCAAAATGTACCATTTCTTAAACAAAAAACAACTATGTCCACCAATTCCTCTTTGGGTAAATGTCAAACTTGTAAAAGATGAACTAATTGTGAGACTTTTAAAGGGCCCACACCAGAGAACTCCAGAAAAATGTTAAACCAAATTTAACTATTGACCTATTATCAAAAAACCTCATTATTTCTAAAAGTGACTCATGATTTCTATGCAAAACCAACTTTCAACCAAACCACCTAAACACATTATACCAAATAAAGACCACGGTAGCATAAAAGACAAAATAGGTGGGTAGAGGATTCCAAATAACCCTGCCATTTTGCACAAGCAATGCCATTAGGGTCTAAGATGACCCGACGCCTAAAGAGGTAAACCTTTCTTTAATCTTATCTCTAAGCAGCTTATAGGATTAATCAATGATCTTATTCGGTGCCCAACTCTTCCATATAAGAGGCAAAACCTTACCAATATTAGGAGAATTTGTTTTGAGATATAAATTAGATCTTAAAAACAAAATATAGGTCGCTTTAACAATATACAAACCAATATTCTCATGCAACCAACACCACTTATCATCATCAATGAAACAACTAAAACTCTAAATCATACTCAACATGTTGGCAACAAAATCAAACTCCCAAATATACATATTTTCCATCCACATCAGGTCACATGACCAACTACCAATAACATAGTTACCCCCAACTTCTTCACTTTCTAAATTTCCTGAGCTTAGTGGAAATCTAAAAAAAAGTTTCAGGAAGAGAACTATTAGAAATACATGACCCTTAAAATGATTAACGTCTTTTAATTTATCAATACAATATTAACTATTATATTTTAAATCATATCACTTATCTGATACTACTTGCACAATTTAAAATATAATATATGAAGTTTTTCTATTCACTCTCTAAAATACAGAAATAGTGTATTTTGACATTTTTAAACATTAGAGAGTAAAATTGAAACACTCATTTCATTATATTTTACATTCTTTTAATTCGTGTGAAATGATTAACTTGACTAAGTAACAAATAAAAATATCAATATAAAAATAATTAATATTTATTAAAACGTTACAATAACAATTAATTTAAAATGAATTTTTACGAGACAATATAACTTATTTACTAGGTAATAAAAGAGATGTTATCTCTGATGGAAGACTTTAATATGTCTTTTATCGTGAAAAATATATTAAAGTCTTATATGACAACGCCTCCTTGTCTTTTTTTTTTCTTTCAATTTTCAACCATTTAATGAGAGTTTTAATCCCGTAAAATTTTAGTGTATTTTTTAATTTTATTTTTAATCATTTAGCGGAAGTCTTAAATCCTAAAAATCTCAATGTTAAAAAAAATTGGCTTAATTGCAACTTTGGTCCCCCTATTTTATGTTTTTTTAGGTTTTGATCCCCCCATTTTAAAAACTACGATTTTGGTCCCTTTTTTAGGTTTCAAGATTGATATTAGTCCCCTTGCCATTTTAAGTCATATTTTTAATAATGTGGTGCATTGAATGATGATGTGGCATTTCCATGTCATTTAAAATGGTCTTATTAATTTTAATATAATTTCCATGTCATATAGGTTTCTTTTTATTTTATTTTCAGAAAATTAATAAAACCTAAATGTAAAACCCCAGCGCTTTCATCTTCAACCCATTTCTTCAAACCCAGATCAGGAATGAAGATTCTTGGCCTTCCCCTTTCACGAACGAATCTTCCCCTTTCACGCACGTAATTAAAGATTCTATATCAAACCGCAACTCGCTTCCCGTCGTCTCTGAAATGGCAAACCGAAGTTACGTGTCGAGGTATATTTTGTAACTCACCTCTGAATACAAAAACCCTAAACACGCAAATGGCGTTTATGTTCTGTCATAGCATATGATTTGTTTATACTAACTCCCGATTTTATTTATGTTTTAATTTAGAAACTGTCATTTGTATTTTGTAGGCCCTCTGATACCCAAGCTGTTAGATTTAGAGTACACCGTAGGGGAATTTAATTCAGAATCCAGTTCTATTGTATGTTGGTGGGCTTGTAACTGAAATGAATTGGGATTGGGATGTGGACTTGATGTCCTACATGCAAATTGAAGATTTGATCAAGAGTGAGGGGTATCGTAATATAAAGTGTTTATGGTATTGGAATCCTAATTTTTCCTTTTCTCGTGGACTTCGGCCTCTGAATAATGATAATGATGTCTTAAGGTTAATGGAGGATGTTAGAGGATTTAAGGTAGTTGATCTTTATGTTCAACACAAAATTGAAGAAATAAGTATTGAGGATGTTATTTTTGAGGAGGATAATGGTGAAAAAGTCAATGGTGAAGGAGCAAACAGTGAAGTTAATGTCGAGGGAGCAAATGATGAAGTTAATGTCGAGGGAGAAAATGATGAAGTTAATGTCGAGGGAGCAAATGATGAAGTTAATGTTGAGGGAGCAAATGATGAAGTTAATGTTGAGGGAGCAAACGATGAAGTTAATGTCGAGGGAGCAAACCATGAAGTTAATACCGAGGGAGCAAATGATGAAGAGGTTAGTGTTGATGGAGTAGATGAAGAGGTTAGTATCGATGGAGTAGATGAAGAAGTTGTTGTTGATGGAGTAGATGAAGAGGTTAGCGTTAATGTTGATGACGTAGATGACGAGAGTGAAACAGATCCAGATTATAGCATGGGCAGTGAGGATGACGAGGAAGAGGATGAAGATTTGGAAGGTGAAATTGATGTGATGAATTTAGGTGCTGACGTTGGTATTAATTGGAAGACCGTTTTACCCAATGCTACAGCAGAAAAACCTTCAAAGTTGGATGGTAATTCCAATAATGGTAGTGATTTAGATGTGCTTCAAACTCCACCCGATAGTGATGCTGAAGGTGATATGGAAAAGTTTCCAATCTTTAGGGAACCCACAAAACTTGAAGTAGGGATGATGTTCAAGGATAAACAACAAATCAAAGATGCCATAAAGGAGTATGCAATGGAGAACAAGAAGAATCTTGTATTCAAGAAAAATGACAAGAAGAGAATGGTTGTCAAGTGTTTATATGGTTGTCCATTTCATATTAGGTTTAGCATGAGTACTACCAATGAATATTGGCAACTTGTTAGCTTAACTGATTGTCATGGTTGTCATAGGACAGCCAAAAATAGACAAGTAAAAACAGATTGGTTGGGTCGCCAATTTGTGTACACCATAAGACACACTCCTGAAATAAAAACCAAAGGGCTGATTGCAGAAGCTATTAAGAAGTGGGCGTGAAGTTGTCAAAGGATCAAGCTTATAGAGCCAAGAAAAAGGAAATGGAATTGATTCAAGGTGCTGGTCATGAACAATTCACACATCTTAGAAGCTATGGTGAGGAGTTGTTAAAGTCAAATCTAAACTCCATTGTTAAAATTAAGTGTGCTGATTCAGATGGTGGTCCTGTCTTTGAAAGAATATATGTATGCTTAGAAGCTTGTAAGGCAGCATTTGCAACGACTCGTAGGCCTCTAATATGACTGGATGCTTGTTTTCTTAAAGGGGACTTTGGAGGTCAGTTAATAGATGTTGTTGGTAAGGATGGAAATAACAAGATTTATCCAATCGCTTATGCCGTAGTGGAAGCTGAAATGAAAGACTCTTGGAAATGGTTCCTTAATTTGTGACTAGAAGACTTGCAATCTATACAAGACAACAAATATAGATTTATATCAGATCAACAGAAGGTTAGTTTTACTGTGCTGCTATTTGTTATATGTGTTGTTATGTTCTGTTACAATGTTGTTTGATATGTGCTGCTATTTTGTGTTGATATGTGATGCTACTGCTGTTTGATATGTGTTGCTATGTTGTGGCCTAAGTGGTCTTTTAGTGAGGCTTTTTATATGAGAGTTAGGATATGTGATGCTGCTACTGCTATGGCCTAAATGGTCTTGTAGTGAGGCTTTTTATATGCACGATTGTGTTATTAAGGATATGAGAGTTAGGATATGTGATGCTGCTACTGCTATGGCCTAAGTGGTGTGTTGATATGTATTTAAATAAGAAGGGAATTACAACAACAATTTGATATGTGATGTTGCTACTGCTATGGCCTAAGTTAGGATATGTGATGTTGCTACTGCTATGGCCTAAATGGTGTGTTGATATGCATTTAAATAAGAAGGGAATTTCAATAACAATTTGATATGTGATGTTGCTACTGCTATGGCCTAATAAGGGAATTTCAATAACAATTTGATAAGCAAAAGTAAATAAATAGATAGAAAGACTAATGTGCATTTAAATTATCAAAGCCTAATGATGTGTTGATATGTGTTGTTATGTACCGCTGTTTGATGTGTTGTTATGTGCTACTATGATGTGTTGTTATATGCTATTATTTCAGGGATTGGTACCGGCTATTCTTGAGACAAGCCAACATTTTGAACACAGACTATGTGTTAAACACTTGTATGGTAATTGGAGAAAGAAATATCCTGGGATATTTATGAAGGAGGTTTTATGGCGGGCAGCTAGAGCCACAACAATTCCTGCATGGGAAAGAGCAATGAATCATATGAAAGAGCTCAATGTCAATGCTTGAAAAGACATGATGGATGTCCCAGCTACATGTTGGACTCGGTTTCATTTCAAAATAGACACACAATGTGATTTGCAAGTCAACAATATGTGTGAGGCTTTTAATCATGCAATCTTGGAGTATAGAGATAAGCCGATCATTTCACTACTTGAAGGAATCAAACATTATATAACAGTGAGAATCTTTGCTCAAAAGGAGAAATTAAGTAGGTACACAGGTGTTATAAGTCCTAACATTCAAAAAGTCTTGGAAAAAACAAAGAGGGCAGCAGAAGGATGGATTGCAACATGGCATGCAGATGATGACTTTGCTATATTCGGAGTTTCAAACGGTGTTGAGACATATGTTGTGAACTTGCTTCAACAAAAATGTGGTTGTAGGAAGTGGAATTTAAGTGGAATACCATGTTGTCATGCTATTGCATGCATATGGTATAACAAGAAGGAGCCCGAAGAGTACGTTTCATCATTCTATAGGTATCACCTACTCGTATGTTATGTTCACTTACATGCATCTTTTTTGTACGCTTACTAAAATCATTGTGTCATTTTGTCTAGGAAATCTACTGTTCTGGCTACTTATAGCCATATTATTATGCCAACCAATGGCCCATAACTATGGCCTGTTAATGTTGCTAACCCAATCATCCCTCCAGTCATGCGAAGATCTACCGGTCGTCCTAATAAGAATCGTAACAAGGCGAATGATGAACCGAGGATAAGAAATACACTGCCTAGAACTTTTCAAACTGTCAATTGCAAGAAATGTGGGAGTTTTGGCCATAACAAGCAAACATGTAAAGGGAAGCGAGCTGCGGAGAGAGCGATTCCTAAAGATGACAACAAAAAACCTAAAAAAAGGGGTGACAAGTCGGGAAAGGAAGCGGGACAAACTGTTATAGACGGGGGACAAACTGTTATTGACGGAGGGTCGCAAGCACCGCCACCAATCCAAGAATAGTTCTATGTTTTACTTTACTTTTAGTGATGTTTCTATAGCATATGTTATGACCAAAAAACTCAAGGTATTTTTGTTAAAATATGTTGTCTTTAATGATGCCTGCTATGTAAAGTTACAATACAGTGCTGTTATGTAATGCTGCCTTCAATGTAATGACACATCAGTCTTGATACATCAGCCTTCAATGTTATGTTATGTAGTGCTGTTATGTAATGCTGTTGTTTGATATGTAAAGTTACAATGCAGTGCTGTTTATACATCAGTTTATTATTAGAATGCAATGTTGTTTATACATCAGCCTTCAATGTTATACATCAATTTATTATTACAATGCAATGATGTTTATACATCAACCTTCAATGTTATGGTATGTAGTGCTGTTATGTAATGCTGCCTGCTATGTAAAGTTACAATGCAGTGCTGTTTATACATCAGTCTTATGATACACCAGTGTTATTACTCAAAGTATGCTGCTCAAAGTAACTCAAAGTAGCTCTTTAACATTTGAAATAAACATGCTGCTACTCCAGTTTCAGTTTCAGTGCTACTTCAGTTTCAGTCCTTCTTTAACATTTGAAATAAACCATGTTACTCAAAGTAACTCTTCATTTGAAAATACATAAAGTATCATTTTGAGTGTTATTGCAATGTTATGCTGCACAAAGTAACTCTTCATTTGAAATATTATGCTGCTACTTTAATATTATGCTACTCTTCATTTGAAATATTGCAATATTATGCTGCTACTTTAATACAAGGTTATATCGCTCTTCATTTGAAATATTATGCTGCTACTTTCACTAGAAGAAACATTGTATTTTCCCAAGTGATTCCCACGTCACTAAGTTAAAAATCACTTCACTAACCACTATTTGCGACGTGGGAGAAACACGCCGGAAATGCAATGGTGGGAACTTTTTCCCACTTGAAAAACACGTCACAAAGTTGTGACATATAAACCACATCGCAAATTACAAAAAAAGTAGAAAAGGTTCCCACGTGAAAACCAAGTCACTAATTAGTGACGTGAAAATCATGTGGGAACTTACCTTTACCAAATTGGTCTGCACGCTTGTCTGACACCAGTTGAATTATTTTCCCATGTGATTCCCACGTCACTAATTAGTGACATGGGATGCACTTCACTATAAAATTTAATAATAATAAAAAATAAATAATATTAACTGAAACAACTATAAAATTAAAATAAATATTAAATATTAAATTTAAAATAAAAATGATTTTTAATTAAAATAATATACATTAAAAATATATACATAATTAGTCACATGAAATTCACGTCACAAATACAAATAATAATAATAAAAGTTGTCACGTAATATTCACGTCACAAATATAGACAATAATAAAAAAAAATTATTCCTCGTCACTAAATGATACATTTTCGTCTTCTTCATCATCTTCGGCAGAATAATTCGATTTCAAGGCAAAAAAATTTCGCATTTGTGCCTCCATGTCTGATTGCCGCTTCCTCATTTCCTCTATTTAAGCATTTTGTCTATTTCTCATATCATCCATTTCGGCCTTTAGGGTCGCCTCACGTGTCTCCGCCTCTCGTCTCGCCTCAGATAGAGCTAACTGTTTCACTGTTGCCAACATTTCTGGTGTCAATTCTGCCGGACGCGATCCTCCTTCCCCATCATCAAGTCTTTGAAATAATGTTCGGTCCCCTTTTCTATATTCGCCAGCTAAAGACCCCAGACCAAAAAAACATCCATTGACTCTCTTCCCGCCTACTGTTAAATTCCAAATATAAAGATCAACGCGTAGATCAAGCGGTGCATAATGTCTGAACATGTTTTATTTGTATGATGCCATGTCATTTGACTTGCACTATGCATTGAAGCAAACAATCTTTTTAACCTTGGTATTATCAGCAAATAAAACATGGACTTCACTGCTACATGTTTTTGTTTACGGTTAATGGCTTTACTACGAACTTGATATCTCGGACTCTTACAGAACTTACATTCCTCTAGCGCCTCATCATTAATACCAAACTCATTGTCATAAAAAAACATACATCCTTTTATGCAACAATCAATCTTTCGTACTTCTAAACCCAACTTCGACACCAACCTCTTTGCATCATAATAACTTGTAGGCAAATTGTCTTTCGTAGGAGTCGCATCCAACATCATTTTTGCAAAGTATTCCAAACACTGATCAGGAACATTCCAATTTGACTTTGCGGCCAATAATCTCACACACATTGATAATTTTGAATCTACTGACCCCTCAAACAACGGTGTATTCATTTCTTTCAACAATTGGTAAAACCTTTGTGCTTCCTCATTCGGAAACTCTTCCCCATCAAAATCCTGAGGTTCATCATATGTCACATTTACTCCAAATGCATTTCCAACCATTTCATCGATCAGATTAAATTGTTCATCAAATTCCATATGTGATCGACTACTTGATGCGTGTGTATTAGTTATCTCTGCATGTACGTTACTCGGCAGTTGTTCTCCATTATATGTCCAAACCCAATAATTTTTAATGAAACCCTTCCTCTTCAAATGACGTTCTACTTCCTCTGGATCACTAATTATAGGTCTACATTCACATTTAAGACAAGAACATCTCACTCCTCCCTCACGTCGACAACATTCTTGTGCAAATGCCCATGCGATAAACCCCTTAACTCCTTCCTCAAATTTTGGTGTAAGTCCAAGTCTGCCTGGTAACGTTCTATCGTACATCCAACTACGATAGTAACGAAAATATTCCATACTGCAGAAATTTGTACTATCATTATATATCATTTTAATAAAATATGTAATTTAAATCTTTTTTTTCTATTTCGACACCAACTTAATAAAATATGTTCACTAAAATAATATAAATTCATTATTTTTAAAGTATAATATATATTCATTATTTTTAAAGTATAATATATATTCATTATTTTTAAAGTATAATATAAATTCACTAAAATAATATATTATAGGCAAAATAACTCTTTTGGTCCCTTAACATTAGCTCGGGGTCCATTTTCGTCCTTTATCTTTAAAAAGTGTCAAATTGGTCATTTAACTTTTAAAATGGTGTCATTTTAGTTCTCACCGTTAATTGACCACAAACGTCTGTTTCTTTTGTATATGTGGCAGATGAGGTGGCAATCTTGTTCATGTCTTCCTTCTCCCTCCTCCCTCCTTCGTTGAAAGCCCTAAAAAAATTTCATATCCCAAATCCCAATTCCACTCACCAATCCATAAATTAATCTAGGGCAAGCATGAAATCCGGATGTTGTTCTTCCATTTCAAAAACGAAAAGTCGGGATTCAGATGTTTGTAGTCGGTCACGATGGAAGCCCATGTGCCATTGTGGAGACATGGTTGTTCTTCAAAGGGCAACGACTGTTAAGAATATGTGAAAACTTTTTTGGGGTTGTCCAAATTACAAGGTATGCAAGCTGGTTTTGTTCTCTGTTCAAGTTATGTTTCTGTTTATTATGTTTCTGTTCAAGTTGTGTAAATTATGTTTCTGTTTATTATCCTCTAAACAATTAATCTTACAGGGAGGTATGCAAGCTGGTTGTGGCTTCTTTGATTGGTTTTATAAGGAGATGGGTGATGAGAAGGAGCAAATTTGGATGCATAGGTTGGGTGTGGTAACAAAGGGACTTGAAAAAGCGGCAATGGAAAATGAAGAATTAGGAAAAAAGCTGATGAAACTTGAAATTGAAATGAAGAATATCATGAAGTGGAAAAAGATTTTGAATTTGATGTTTGTGATTATTATCATTGTATTAGTTGTTAGGGGTAGTTAGGTTCTTACGGGTTGTTTGGAAGTATTATGTTTAGTTAAAGTTTGTATGACTTCAACATGAATGTAATAGTTGGATTTTAATATATGTATTGTATCAGTTTAGTTAATTTCAATATTTGCAGCAACATAACAACAGTTAATTTCAATTTCAATATATGGATAGTAAAGTGGTTTGCAATGTTTGGCATTTGGCATATTTGCATATTTGTATTTGCATATTTGCATAACAGCAGAAGCATTATCATTGTATTGTGTTTGGCATATTTGCAATATCTGAAATTTACATGTTTTGCAATGTTTGGTAATAACAGCAGCATATAACATGTGTTTGCAATGTTTTGCATACAATATAACATGTTTTTATAATAACATCAGCAATAATATAACATGTTCTGGTAATAACAGTAATGTTTTGGTAATAATAGCAGCGATGTTTGGTAAAGTTTTGGTAATAATAGTTTAAATGTTTTGGTAATAACAACATTAATGTTTTGGTAATAACAGCAGCAATGTTTGGTAATGTTTTGGTAATAACAACAACAATGTTCTGGTAATAACAACAACAATGTTTTGGTAATAACAGCAACAATGTTTTGGTAATAACAACAGCAATAATATAACATGTTTTGGTAATAACAGCAGCAATGTTTGGTAATAACAGCAGCAATAACATAACATGTTTTGGTAATAACAACAGCATATATTAGACTTGTTCATGACAACAACAATAGAATGTAATAGACTTGTTCCAAAACAACAACAGTACAATACATAAACTTGTTCTAGGTAACTTGTTCTAGGTAACTAAACATGTTCCACAACTTAGAGTTTCTTGTTTGGCGTGGTCTTCTTTGTTGGAGTAGACCTCCTTGTTACTGGGCCAACAACATTATTCGCCGCACGCATCCTAGTTGTAGGGCCAGGTGGCACAAAAGGTCTTGTTGGCTTCCTTACAGGAAGCTTTTGTTTCTTGCCCGTAGCAGCCTGAGATGGAGCGTGTTGACTAGTTTGTTGAGCAGTCTGTGATGGAGTGTGTTGAGTAGTTTGTTGAGAAGTCTGAGATGGAGTCTGAGTAGGAGTATGATTGAGTTGGGCTGATTGTTGAGTTGTTGTGTCTTTACAAGTAGATTTGTAATATCCTGCTTTCTTACACCTGCTACACTTCACCAGAAAACATGTTCTTCTCATTTTGCGAGCATACCCGTCAATTTCACCTTGTTCTAGGTTCCTTCTCTTTTTAGGTCTACCTGGCATCTTCCTGAACTTGGGTGGTTTCAAATCCGGGTATTGTGTCTTAACCCACAAGTTTGCTCCATTAACAGGGTAGATCACATGCTTATAAACTGCCTTGTACCTTGAAACCCTATAATAGTCTGGAATGTAAGTATCAACCTTGAAATTTCTACTCTTCATAGCAGAATGAGCATGAACACATGGGAGCCCTGTGAGTTCCCATCTTCTGCATGAACATATATGATCTTTCAGGTTCACAACAAATTTGTCAGCTTGATTTTCTATGTGCCTTACTTCAAATATATGTTCATCAGCCATCCTAAATGATTAAACAAACAACAGTACATTAGTCACATGTATGTCATAAACAAAATATCATTACTCACATGCTGTGACATACCTTACTAGCCAGTTGTTGGTGTATGTGCTTGTGACATCAAGTTTCTTTCTAATATTGGGCAAAATATCATTCTCGTCCAAAGTTCCAAATCTCATTCTGTTATTTGCCCATCTCTCCATCAAGTATGTTCTGATGTCTTCTAACATTGTGATTAAAGGTTTTGCCCTTGCTTCAAGAATGACACTATTGAAGGACTCAGACATGTTGTTGAGAACATCATCACATTTGTTTTCAGTCCTAAAGTAAGATCTACTCCAAAACCTTGGTGGGGTCTTCATCATATGTTTAAATGCTTCTTCATTGATGGCCCTCATTCCCTTCATCTCTTTTTCCCATGACTGTGGGTATGTTGATTTGGCAGCCTTCCATATTATGTCCTTCAACATCTTTCCAGGAAACTTTTTTCTAAAATTGTTGTAAAGGTGCCTAACACAAAACCTGTGCTCCACCCTTGGCAATAACTCATCCATAGTAGGTAGCAGACCCTGCACATATAACAGTAGCAGCACATGTCAACAGCAACACATATATAGCTAACTAATAATGGACACAACAACAACACATATAACAACAACACATCCAAAGCTACATATATCAGCACATATATCAGCCACCATATATCAGCACATATGTCAGACTGTTACAATAAAAACTTCATAGGACATGTAGAAAATAAATAAAAACTGTTACAATACCAACCTTATTATAACCTTATTATAAAAACTGTTACACAACCTTAATCAGCATTTTATTTTACATATAAAACTCTACTTATTATAACCAGATGGATTCATACATTCACAACAGCAACACATAAATTGAATAGATACACCAAATGACAGCAGCACATTTAATTAAAAGGAAATAACAGCAGCAACAAATCCAAATTTAAAGGTACATATATAGCACATATATCAACATATATAGCACATATAGCAGCAGCACATATAATAGCAGCAACACATATAGCTAACTATATCACATATAGCTAACTTGGATGCATATTTCATAATACATATAACAGTCTGAGATGAAAAACAGTCTGAGATGAAAAACAGTCTGAGATGATATTTCATAATACCTATAACAGTCTGACATGAAAAACAGCAGGATACACAACTGCATATGCAATAAATGAAAAACTTAAAGCTTGCCTTTTGTTAGTCTGAGATGAAGGTGTAAGTCAGGCATTCAGCTTTGCCTCCAAGGTCATCAATTAAGAGCTCTAAAAACCAAGTCCAGCTCTCCTTGTTTTCACTCTCCACAGCTGCATATGCAATGGGAAGCATCTGATCATTAGGATCCCTCCCAATGGCAGCTAGTATCTGCCCTCCACACAACCCCTTAAGAAAACACCCATCTAGACCTATTACATACCTGCACAACTTAAAGCTTTCCTTACACGCAGCAAAACATATGTAAAGCCTTCTAAAATATGGTCTTTCATCCTCAACACCTACTTGTACAGGCTCAACATTGAGCTTAACTGTTGACCCTGGATTGGCTCTTAACAGTTCATGACAGTAGTCATAAACCCTTGTGTAATCTCCCAAAAATGAACCATCTACATACTCTCTAGCTGCGATTCTTGCTCTTATGGCTTTGGTTTTGTTGACCCCAACATTCCACTTTTTTGTGCCTTCTCCTTGATATCCTTTATAGTCAACCTTGGATTGTTTTTCAAGCTATTTTGAAGCCTTTTACTCAACCACTTTGTACTCATCAGCTTCACATTAAACTCTCTACTGCAACTGTGTTTATCAATTACTTTCCTGAGTTGCCAAGTGTCTTCAGTTGACAACTTGCTACAATAAGCCTCCCACTCACAACCAACTTTACATCTAACCCTTACCCTAACTTTGTCATTTTTTACAAACCTTAGGTCTCTACCATTTTGAACAACATAAGTTGTTATTGCTTCCCTAAAATCAACCTTTGAACTAAAGTACATTCCCACATCCCACTTGTAATCTGACATGTCTTTTGGCTGTCTGAAAATTTGATGTTTTTTTCTTACAACTCCACTGCTATCATCACTGTCACAACCACTTTGCATTTCCTCACTGTCATTGTCACTTCCTTTACCATCATTTCCTACAACTTCGCTGTTACCATCATTTTCAAGACCAAATAGGGCATCAAGTTCATCCTCCCTAATCTCATCAAACCCATCAGACTCATCCTCAAATGCAACATCTTCTGCGCTATCATAATTGTAGTCCTCATCTTCACTATCATCAGATGATAGACTTAAGTCATCATACACTACAACTTTGCCTTTTCCAACTCCAACATTACCTTGTTCCCCTTCAGCACTCCCTTTTTCAACTCCAATGGTATGATCATCCACTGCAGGAACCTCATCAACTATAACAGCAGTGGCTTCATCAACCCTAACATTGGCTCCATCAACCCTAACTTCACCTTGCACAACTTCTTCATGTAGTTTACTAAGTAACTCCTCTACCTCACCTACAACTTCAGCAGGGTCCTCATCAACTTCATCAACAACAGCATCACAATATTCAGGTTGAGACAATGTGTGTTCAATATAAATATCAACAGTTTGGTGCACCCTATACAAATATGCAATTTCTAAAGCACCATTGTCATCAACAAGTCGGTTCATCCCAAATTGAGGGTCCTTGTAAAATATTGTTTCAAACTCCCTGTAACCTAGGTCTTTCAATACACCAACTAGCTCAAAATAACTCCATCTGTCGACATCTACCCTCAAATCATCTACTACTCCATTCTCATATACACTACGACCTTCGTTTGTGAACTCACCACTATGATGAATTTTCAGAGTAATGTATTCTTCCATGATACCTGGGCATACCATGTAAGTAATTAACGTTTAAACTAACAAATTTATATAAACCTTAAATCTGTCTGAACCTCACCCGAAAAACTCTAAATCAGAGAGATGAACTAACCTTTCGAGATTGGCTCTTGAATCGCCTGCTTCTCTTCAATCGTTTTCGTTTTCTTCTTCTTTTTCTTCTTCGTTCTTCTTCAATCGTTCTTCGTTTTCTGCTTCTTCGTTTTTCTTCAATCGTTCTTCGTTTTTCTTCGTTTTCTTCTTCTTTTTCTTCTTGTCTTTTCTTCTTCTTCGTTTTCGTTTTCCTTTTCTTTTTCGTTTTGCCTTTTCCTCTTCTTCGTTTCCTTTCAGTGTTTTCTTCCTTTCCCTCTTCACTTCCACCTGACTTCCACCTCAACACTCCATTCCACCTCAGCACTCCACATGGCAATTTTTTCAAAACCAAACTAACAGCAACTAACGGAAGGATAAACGTGACACATTTTTAAAAGTTAAATGACCAATTTGACACTTTTTAAAGATAAGAGACCAAAGTGGACTCCGAGCTAATGTTAAGGGACCAAAAGGGTTATTTTGCCTATATTATACTAATAATAACATATTTAAAGTATAATATATATTCATTATTTTTAAAAATCTGTTTTTAATAATTGAATGTGTAAAAATAATGTATAAAAATAATGTATTAAATGTGTTATTCTGTTTTTAACAAATTTACTAAAATAAAATAATATATATTATACTAAATCTGTTTTTAATAATCTATTTTTAAGAATTTGTTTTAAAAATCTATAATATATATAATTGATTTACTAAAAATAACACAATTAGTACATATTCATTATTTTTTAATAAAAATACTTTTTCAAAAAATAATACATTTAAAAATAACACATTTTAAATATAATACATATTCTTTATGTTTTTAAAAAATATATATTAATTTTTTCTATTTACAATATTGTTTACTAAAAATATTTTTAAAAATTCTATTTTATCTAACATAATAAATATTCTGTTTTTAAAAATTAAAAATATATAACATATTTAATTTGTTTCTAATATATTATTTTTGTTTCTTATAAATATTTTATTTTTTTAATTTGTTTCTAATAACATATTATTTTTATTGCGTTTTTCTAATAAATATTCTATTTTTCTAATTTGTTTCTAATAACATATTATTTGTTTCTAACATAAAAAATATTCTATTTTTCTAATTAAAAATGCATAATATATTATTTTTATTTTTTCTTTCAACAACAATAACACAGTGTATATATATATATATATATATATATATATATATATATATATATATATATATATATATATATATATATATATATATATATATATATATATATATATATATATATATATATATATATATATATATATATATATATATATATATATATATATATATATATATATATATATATATATATATATATATATATATATATATATAACAAAAAAAAATCTAAAATTTCTTAATCAATATTCTAAAATAATATTTCATATATCAATTATATAAACAAATTGTAATGCAAAAATACCTCTCAAAACCTTCCAATGGAACTCCTTAATCAATATTAGATCTGAAAAAAATTAATAGTTAATAAAAAGAAAAATATAAAATAAATGGAAAGATAAAACAGTCACAACAACATACAAATGCTTCACCTTAAATTTGTAAAATTTTCGTTGGAGGTGTGAAGGAGAATAATGAAGGTCTGGAAATATGAGGGAGGAAGAAGAAAAGCTGAAGAAAGAAGATGAAGAAATGAAGTGAAACGAGATGGATGAAAATTCTAGGATATATAATGAAACTTGCCACGTGGGGAACACGTGGGAAGGTACCCACGTGAACGTCACGTCGGAACAAACATCAACTTCAAGCATTTGCGACGTGAGTTGGGGGTCGGAACAGTCCAAGCATTTGCGACGAAAAGCATGTGGGTAATTTGTGACATGCTTATCACGTGGGAAAAAAAAGAACTTTTTGAATTTACAGTTCCCTTGTGATTTACACGTTGAAGTTGTGAAAAATTCAAACTTCCCTCCCCTAAAAATTCCAAAATTTCTTTGAAGATTTCAGAGTTACAAAATTTATTAATTAAATAATTTAGTGACGTGGGAATCACTTGGCAACACATTTTTTTACCACGTGATTATCACGTCACTAAACCACTAGGAAAAACAACATTTTCTTGTAGTGTTTAATACAAGGTTATGTTGCTCTTCATTTGAAATATTATGCTGCATAATACAAGGTTATGCTACTACAATATTATGCTGCTACTTTATTAGCACAGACAATCATAACTCTTCATTTGAAATTACTTCATTTGGCAATTACATAATATCAAAGTAACTACAACATTTGACATTACATCATTTGAGTACATGTGTTGCAACTAATGCAAACACAATTAAAAAGACAAACATCACATATAACCCCACAAAATAATACATAAACCTAATTTTCATTTTCAACAAACCTTCATTTTTCTTGATGTCTTTAATCACATCCATAAGCTCCTCATTCTTGTCTTTCAAAGATCTTATCACATCTTTAGCACGACTACTCATGTCTTCATCAACCTACTGAAAGTAATTACATCCTTTTTTTCCTCATCACCTTAAAATTACCACAACCATGAAATCATCTTCCGAGGTTATCGTATGTCCATGACGTCATCAACGATGACTCAAGCTCACACCAACATCTATTACCTCTTCTTCTTATAATAGACCTGGACTGGTTTGTTGAGGAAAAAGAAAAATTCGTTTCGGACATGTTGGTAAATAGGAGACACGTTGGGTTCGAAACTAATGGCTACAGAAGGACTGATATGAGTTTGTTGAGGAAAGGAGGACTGAGTTTGAAGAAATGACTAAAGAAGTGGGTTGTTCTTCGTGAAAAATGAAATGGAAATAGCAAAATTGAATGGTTGAAGAAATGTGTTGAAGATGAAAGCGCTGGGGTTTTACATTTAGGTTTAATTAATTTTCTGAAAATGAAATAAAAAAAAACCTAAATGACATGGAAATGATATTAAAATTAATAAGACCCTTTTAAATGACATGAAAATGCCTCATCATCATTCAACGCGCCACATCATTAAAAACATGACTTAAAATGGCAAGGGGCTAATATTAATCTTAAAATCTAAAAAATGAACCAAAATAGTGATTTTTAAAATAGGGGATCAAAACTCAAAAAAAATATAAAATAGGGGGACTAAAATTACAATTAAGCCAAAATAATTTAAGTGTTGAAAAAAAAAATACACTAAAATTTTGTAGGAATATAAAACCGAATAAATAATTGAAAATTAAAAAAAAAGTTTCGTTCACAGTGAGACGCTAGACATCCAATAAAAATCCTTTGTAAAGTAAAATTTCTAAAAATTTGCTTACCTGTAATTACATTACTATTTATTTTCTTATAATAAATACTAACTATTTTATTTGAATATTTAACTAATGTGTGATTCCCAATCATTAAATGAAAAAGCCAATTTTGTTTAACCCATTAAATAATATCAATATGTACATACATTAAAAGTCATGTTAATATATGTCCTAAATAATTTAAAAATAAAATTTTACATAAAAAAGATTAAATACTCCTACATAACAAGATTTGTTGTTAAAGTAATTTAGAAAATAATAAATCTAGTTATTGTAAGAATTTAGAAAATTGCGTCATAAACGACACAATGATCTGTAATCAACCAAAGCGGAAATAATTTGCATTACCCTCTTTTTCAGCTAATATGTCTTTTCTATTCTAATCTCCCTTAGCCGCGTTATAGTCATCATCTCTCTCTCTCTCTCTCTCTCTCTCTCTCTCTCTCTCTTAAATAATTGTTTTTTTTCTCTCCCTCTCTCTCTCTCTCTTAAATCATTCTCCACCTCCTTCGAGAATGGGTTGTCGCGGTAGCAAGGAGAAGAACCCGAACGAAGATTTTAGTGCCCGCCGTGGACCATCGGCCACCGTCGGAGGTGGAGGTGGAGGTGGTAGTAGTAATACGCACTATCACAGTGTTCAATCATCTTCTAGTCATGTTCAGACTTCAGTACCACCAAAACCTAATTCACACTCACAAGCTTCTTCAACAGTGATAACAACAACAACATCATCAAATCCAAAACCCTCCGTCACACCTCAGAATGTGAAAACTGTGCAGAAAACAGATACAGCTATATTAGGTAAACCTTATGAAGATATTAAGAAGTTCTATAGTTTAGGTAAAGAATTAGGGCGAGGTCAATTTGGGATTACGTATTTCTGCACTGAGAATTCCACTGGTTTGAATTATGCTTGTAAATCTATATTGAAAAGGAAGCTTGTGAGTAAAGCTGATAGAGAAGATATTAAGAGAGAGATTCAGATTTTGCAGCATTTATCTGGTCAACCTAATATTGTTGAATTTAAAGGTGCTTATGAGGATAGGTTTTCTGTGCATCTTGTCATGGAGCTTTGTGCTGGTGGAGAGTTGTTTGATAGGATTATTGCTCAAGGTCATTATTCAGAGAGAGCTGCTGCATCTCTTTGTAGGTCTATTGTTAATGTTGTGCACATTTGTCATTTTATGGGTGTTTTGCATCGTGATTTGAAGCCGGAGAATTTCTTGCTGTCTAGTAAGGATGAAGGTTCCGCGCTCAAGGCTACTGATTTTGGACTTTCCGTTTTCATTGAAGAAGGTGCTGCAGCTCTTGCATTGCTTGTGTTTTTGCGTTGGTTTAGTCATTGTTGTTTACTGTTCCTGTTTGTGTTTAATTACGTGGTTCTTGATTGGTCTCAAAACTTTCTATGTTTAGATATTGAGGATGCAGTGAGTGATTAACTGTGCAGAAATTTGGTTATTTTATTCGCTTTCCAGTTATTGACATTTTTGAGAAATTTTATTTGTTACTTCTCAAAAGAATGTGTTATGCTAGCTTGATTATTGCTATCTGGCGGTGAACCCTTAGCTTGATTAATATTTATAACTCATTGGCATATTGTTAGGCTAGGTTGGGTTTTCAGAATTCGATCCTTAATTCTAGCTTGACGTTTAACATGAGTAGTTGGATTTTATAACATCAAATGCTACCACACTCTGCAGATCATGAGTTGCTAGTTTTTTTAATGCATAGTATCTTTTGCAATGAATATCAGATATGGAACAAACAATTTCATGCTCACAACTTCTTGTTGTATTGTAAGATTGACTTTTTATGTAGATATCTGATTTGTTCATTGAAAAAATATGATATTATTTCATTTTCAGTAGGTTGAATTGAAGTGTATTGTCAAGACCATTCTCGTTAATTATAGTTTTATCTTAATTGTGTTTGACTATTGTGGTAGTTTTCAAGGAATTACATGTTGCTTCTTTGGTATGGCCTTTGCTTTCATCGTTGAGAATTCATATGTAGTGTTAACTATGACATATTTCAGGTAAGGTTTACCGTGATATAGTAGGCAGTGCTTACTATGTTGCTCCTGAGGTACTGCGTCGTAATTATGGGAAGGAAATAGACATTTGGAGTGCAGGCATTATATTGTATATTCTCCTTAGTGGTGTACCACCTTTTTGGGCTGGTAAGATCAACTTGTAGTTTCAAAATGTGATACTATATTTATAGTTTTTGGTTGAGATTCTAATTGAAAAATTAACAACTCCATGGTGTGGTTAATTTTCATTGCAGAAACTGAAAAGGGAATATTTAATGCCATATTGGAAGGTGAACTTGATTTTGTTAGTGAACCATGGCCATCAATATCAGACAGTGCTAAAGATCTAGTCAGGAAGATGCTGAATCCGGATCCAAAGAAGAGAATTACTTCTACACAAGTCCTTGGTACTAGACTATTGTTTCTATTTTGGCTTAATCCTCGAATAATTCCAATCATAGTAGTTCTTCTTTAAATAAATTAAAAGTACTAATTTATTTATTTATTTTCTCAGCATTAATTTCGAATCTCAATTGTCCTCCTTTGAGTTTTTGTTACAAGTGTTGCAAGATTCTTTATCTTCTTCTGCTCTCCCAAGTATTGTCATATACATTTAAAATATTAATTTCTGCTCTCCCAAATTTGGTGGTTTGGGGGCGTCTAGCAAGCAGTTTATGCTGCTGATTTTTTCTATGTTATAAGTGTTGTTTTGGTTTACATCATTGTAGTATGATAATGGGGCTTTCTTTGGGGTTTGGAGATTCTCTGTTTGTTGCTGTGATTTATGTTGGCTAAACTTTATTTGTATTCCAAACTTGTTTTGTTCCATTCTTGCACACATTGTGCTTGGATGTTTTTTTAATTTTATGCAAGTTTCTTTAGCCTTTACCGAAAAAGAAAAGAAAAGATGTTTGTCATCAACCAAACGAATTCTCATCATTCATTTGTATTTCCACTTTGTTATCTAACTTTTCTATTACACGTGGTCTGACTATGATTAATGATTTGTTTGCTAAGAACATCCATGGATGAGAGAAGGTGGAGAAGCATCTGATAAACCGATTGATAGTGCTGTTTTATCCAGAATGAAACAATTCAGAGCAATGAATAAGTTCAAGAAACTTGCATTGAAGGTATGACATCGAACTTAATTCAGAAGCAACTATTTTCAGTGTCTTTTTTTTTTATTTTTTGGTTCTTAATGTTGTTGAAGGGTGCTTATTTCTCTTTTGGTTGCTGCACATTTGTTTTCTCATTCTGGAATATGTTTTAGAAATAGTATTATGGAATTGCTTTTGTTTGTTCTGTCTTATATATGAACCTCTTTTGCTTTCACTCAAGTCATATCTCACTAGATGGGTGGAGCTACATGGATCAAATGCCACCATTAGGCTGTATAAAAACCAATAAATTCATGTGTTGGTTTCTCGTATATTTTCCTTTGGTATAAACATCCACCAAAGATTAACACATTCAGACCAGTCTATTGTGTTGACATAAAAAAAACTGGCATATTGAACGTAACCTTTACGGATACTGCGGTCATTCTGGAAGCTTAAATGATTACAGCATGTTGGGTTTTTCATCATTTGCATGAGTACTCTGAACATTCTATGAGTTACATGTTCTGGCTTATCTTTTCTGGGTATTTCTCCTTACCAATTTAGTGGAAATTTCTCTAGGTTATGGCTGAAAATCTATCAGAAGAAGAGATTAAAGGTCTCAAGGCAATGTTTGCAAACATGGACACTGATGGTAGTGGCACCATCACCTATGAAGAATTGAAGACAGGCTTGGCTCGAATTGGATCAAGACTCTCCGAGACTGAAGTGAAGCAACTTATGGAAGCTGTAAGTCGTCACAAATCCATTACAAAAAGCATAACTAGTTGAACACTTGACTCTAATCTGAAACTCAACAAGAATTGTCTTTTCGTGTATAATGTTTCTCAGGCTGATGTTGATGGAAATGGGTCGATTGACTATCTTGAATTCATATCGGCCACAATGCATAGGCACAGACTTGAACGAGATGAGCATCTTTACAAAGCATTTCAGTATTTTGATAAGGACAATAGTGGGTGAGTATTGCAAGATAGATGGTATATTATTACCAATATTTAGGAAAAATCTAATCATTTTTGTTTGAACAACTAAATAATGACTTTTTTTCTTTAAAATGACACATCTTTATATATATATATATATATATATATATATATATATATATATATATATATATATATATATATATATATATATATATATATATATATATATATATATATATATATATATATATATATATATATATATATATATATATATATATATATATATATATATATATATATATATATATATATATATATATATATATATATATATATATATATATATATATATATATATATATATATATATATATATATATATATATATATATATATATATATATATATATATATATATATATATATATATATATATATATATATATATATATATATATATATATATATATATATATATATATATATATATATATATATATATATATATATATATATATATATATATATATATATATATATATATATATATATATATATATATATATATATATATATATATATATATATATATATATATATATATATATATATATATATATATATATATATATATATATATATATATATATATATATATATATATATATATATATATATATATATATATATATATATATATATATATATATATATATATATATATATATATATATATATATATATATATATATATATATATATATATATATATATATATATATATATATATATATATATATATATATATATATATATATATATATATATATATATATATATTCTCACTGTTTTATCACTGCCATTATTGTAGTTGAGTTCTTCAATGAATGTTGATGACAAACTTTCTATGAGAGTTTTGTTTTCATGTTGTTTCTAATTTCACAAACAGGCATATTACTAGAGAAGAATTAGAGACTGCCATGACAAAGCATGGAATAGCTGATGAAGCAACAATAAAGGATATAATTTCTGAGGTGGATACAGATAATGTAAGTTAGTCCTAATGTAATCAGGGTAACTCTGTTGCGGATTATCGATATTGTCGCTAATGATTCTTAAACTAACAGGATGGGAGAATAAACTATGAGGAATTCTGTGCAATGATGAGAAGTGGAATGCCACAACCGAACCATGGACCACTATTTTAAATCTTCTGAATGGAGTCAATTTCACATGTGATTCGTCATGAAAGCCAATTGGTTGACAGACTTAAAGTTGTTGGTTCGGGAAGTACCATTATGTCCCAGAATATGTAAGACACTTCCTCATGAATTGGGGATTACTTTGAGGCTCTCTGCAATCCCAATTTTCTAGCAGGGTTGTTTTCGTTCGTGTGGTGCTAAAAATAGATTGATTGAAGTATTGTTAAGCATTTGTACAATTAATTTCCGGCCGTCACATTTTCAGAGTGTCGAGCCTGAATTTATATGTTAAAATGCTAACTATGATGATATCCTTTTAATTATGGTAGAGGAAAGAAAAATCACAGGAGAAATCTGATTTCCTTAATTTGTATGAGGATGTCCAAACTTAAATCTTTTTAGTTCGTATAATAATTAATGTATTGATAATGTATTTTGTTCATGTGTTAAATTAGAGCTTTTATTTGTAGTAAGTCATGCCCATGATCTGATGCATAGCTACTGAGATTATGTTTGACTGTACATCATAAGGAAATTCCATGCATTATCATTAGTTTACTGTGCACATATATACAGCTACAGACTACCATCAATTTGACACCATGTAATCTGTATCAGCCAACTAAAGTTAAATGAGATAACTTTTCATGGTGGAGTGGATGAGAATGCTGTTTCACCCTTTGTTACAAACTAACAAATAAAGTCCTATCACTTTTCATCTGCAAAAGGGTTGAAATGATGACATTAAAATGTTATATTATTCACATGAAATAACTGAGTTTTTATTTTTTTATTTATTATTATTTTTATAATTAGCTATTGGAAACTTGGAACACTCCTAGTTTAAAAAAAAATAATTAGACAAAAGAAACATGGAATGCGATTATCATAAAGGGTTTATTTTGGAGGTGTCTAAGATGGATTAGACAAAAGAAATATGGAATACAATGAACCTAAAGAGTCTTTATTTTCGAGGTGTCTAAGAAGGATATGTTAACTTCTTTAATTATATAATTAAAAAATAGATAAGCCAAAAAAACAGATTTTTGCAAATATGGGATAACCACGACAAAGAATGTGACCGGAAGAACCAACCATCTTTGTTCACTAAAGAATGCTTATAACATTAATTTTTGATCCATAAATAAAAATATTTTCAAATTGTAATTACAACTTTTAATATATCAAAATCTTGTTTTAGAACATTAACATATCACAGCTCTTTGATTTTTTTAGACTTACTTTCAAATAAACCATAGTCGCCTTCATAGGGAATTTTTCTCGCCATTTATGATGTATTATTGTTATTTTTTTTCAATAATTTTTAGAAACTGTCGTCGTAGTCACCATTGTTTTCGGCGATCTAATAATATATTTGTTCGTCCAACTCCCCTTGTTATGTTTGTATGGTCAAAATCAAATTTTTGTTAGAGTATAAGGTTGAAGATGAAGAAAATGATAGAAGAGAGAGAAAAACAAATATGTAATTAACTTTTTCTAATAGAATTGGAATTGGTTACAAATGAATTCTTATCTCAAACTAAATCTCTTTCGGTATTTAAACTATCAGAGTCTCTAAATGAAATTCAAATTAAGACTCCAAATGCAAATGAAATGAATTACAACTAACATCATCCATTAATTCATATTCAACTAACTAAAATCAACAACATCAATTCCATCCTTCAAATGGATAAATGTTCAGTTTTGATTGTTTTGGTCAACATATTTGTAAATTGCTTAGAGCAACTTTAACGCAGGGTTGTTAAACCAAAATTCTTTATAGCTTACGTTAGTAATAAGAAATTTGCATTACAGGAGAGCTGACATGGCATCCAAGTGAACTAAAATTTAATTCCCATCATCTATATAGTTAACGTTAACTATGTGAAACCTATTATAATATTATTTAATATTAATAAAATATTCCAACAACATTAAAGTAAGGGTATGATATTTGAAAATAGTAACGGTCATATTATCATTTTTTACCTTTTATTAATTCTATAGAAATTTTAATTTTTTTTACACACAGTTTTACTTTTAAATTTTTTTCTTTCAATTTCCAATCTTATTTATTTATCAAATGGATCCCAACCAATCGAATCCTTATTATAATTATATTCCTATGAAAATGTAATTTTTTTTATGTATTATTGTTGTGAATTTTGTATCATTTTTAATTTTATAATAAAATATATTTAATATTATTTTTAAGTTTTTAAGGTAAATTTTATTTAAAAAATTATATGTATTTTAATTAAAATAATTAAATTAATGGTAACTTGAATAAAAAATATAAAATGTGGGGTCAAGTTTTGGTTTCTTATAGACAACCACCATTAAAGTAAAAACTACTCAAATCAACTATAAATTTTTTAAATCCTACAAATCACTTTGGGCCCACAAAAAGTATCTTAGTTTACCCATTTAGTTTACTCCCACTAAAGATGCTCTTATGAGTGTTACAGTGAACAACTTCAAGCACTCCATCCTAAACATGATTTCTCAGAAAGTGAAACTTTGTGTCAATATGTTTGTTTCTTCCATGCAATATTGAATTCTTGGTAAGGCTTATAGCTGATTTGTTGTCAATCATCAACTTCGCAGACTTGCTCACCTTGATCTTTATATCGTGCAGTAAGTTCAAAATCTAAACAGCTTGACATGCAGGCAAAAGCACATGCAATGTACTCATTTCACAGGTTAACAATACAACTATTGGTTGCTTCTTAGAGCACCAAGAAATTAGACCCTCAGATACTTGAAAAAATATCCAGATGTACTTCTTCTGTCAACTTTGTCTCCACACCAATCAGAGTCTGAATAACATATCAGCTCTGAGTCATATTCATCACCAGAAGGGAACAAAACTCTATACCTCAAAATTCCCTTAATATACCCAAGTATCTTGACAACAGTTTGGTAATGTGACCAGTTTGGTTTGTTCAAAAACCCACTCACATTTCCAACTACATAGCAGATGTTAGGTCTGGTACTACAGAGATATCTCACTGAGCCTAGCAACTATTTAAAAATTGTAACATCTACATCATCATCCTTAACATCATAATCTAGCTTGTGATTTGCTTCAGCAAGTGTGATTGCAGACTTACAATTTATTAACTCAAATCTCTCCAGAAGCTTAAGTTTATACTTTAGCTTATGCAAAATTATACCCTTATCTGAGTACATACTTCATATTGTTATTAGATGCATGTTGAACATAAACACCATACTCCATCTCACATTTTCTAAATTATTGAAGCTTGAAAAATGAATTAATTTTCAAATTCCAAGCTCTAGGAGCTTGTTTCGGTCCATACAAGGCTTTAGACAACTTGTACACCATCCACTCCTGATTCTTTTTCATAAATCAATGAGGTTGTGACACATAAACTTCCTCTTGTAAATAACCATTGAGAAATGCAAATTTCACATCTAAATGCATCAGAGGTCAATTTCTATTAGCAGCAATAGCAATCACCAGTATGATTGCTTCATGTCTAGCTACAAATGCAAACACTTCAAATTAATCTAATCCAGATTTCTATAGAAATAATCTAGCTACTAACCTTTCTTTGTGTTTTTCAATTGATCTATCTGGCTTCAGTTTCAACTTGTAAACCCATGTCACATTGATGCCTTTCTTGTTCTTTAGAAGCTCACTCAAATCCCAAGTCTTATTTCTTTCTATAGCCTCATGTTCTTCTTTCATGGCCTTCAGCCACTCTTTATTATTGAGAGCCTATTAAGTACTAACAGGTTTAGAGTCTACCACATGGCACACTTAATAACTTCCCATTCAAAGTCTACCTCAGTATCTTGCAACATCTTAAATTTTGCAAATATTCTTGGTATTTATCTGATTCTTTGTGGCCTATGAACTTGTTCGTAATATTTTTTAGATGTTGGACTACCTTCAGAGGCATGATTACCACCAGATTATGAATCATCATCAAAATATGGATCAGAATTAGATTCACCTTCAGAGTCAGATTCGTCTTCAGACTGAACTTTAACATCATAGTCACCTTTAGACTTTGAATCATTTTTAGAGACATAATCCCCTTTAGAGTCAGATTCTCCTTCAGAAGTTAACTCACGTGTTAACAATGCACCATAGTTGACTTAAGACTTGTTCCAATCCCATGCTTCTGTTTCCTTCACAATGACATCTATGTTGAAATCATCTTTATTGGCGACAGGACAATAAAGCTTATAAGCACCTATATTGTGGTACCCAATCAGTAACATTACCTTGATTCTATCATCCAACTTCCTTCTCTTAGCATCTAGGACATGTTTATAACAAATAGAACCAAACACCTTCAGATGACTCACACTTTGTTTATCTCCAGTCACTTCTTAATAGGAACAATTTCCTTCAGCTTTTGGGTTGGAAACTTGTTAAGCACATATACTGTAGTGGCAATAGCTTCTCCCCATAAGGTGTGAGGAAATTTCTTCTCCTTTAGCATGCTTTTGTCATATCAAGCAAAGTATCATTTCTTCTTCTAGAAAGATCATTGTGTTGTGGAGTATATGGAGTAGTAACTTCATGCTCAATTCCATTCTCTTCATAGAACCTTTTGAACTCTGTACATTTTCACTCACCCACACCATCAGTTATGAGAATCTTCAGCTTCTGACCACTTTGTTTTTCAACTTTCACCTTGAACTTCTGAAAAGCAAACACCACATGCTTAAATTTGATGAGTGCTACACATGTCATTCTTGTGAACTCCTCCACAAATGACACGAAGTACTTGTTTCCTCTAAGTTGTGAAGGTACTTCAAATGGTCCACATACATCAGAATGCACTACTCTCAAAGCATGTTTTACTCTTGGAGCCACTTCTAATGCAAATGGAAATCTAGGTTACTTGCCTTTCATGCATATCTCACATGACATATCAAGTTTCACAATCTTAGGAATGCCATGTACCAGCATTTTAGAACTCAGATGTCCTAAGCTTCTGAAGTTCAGATGCCCCAATCCATTG